CGAATGTCACTCTCCAGTTTTTTGTTCAATATAAGTATTTTACCATATAAATCTGCCTTGAAGAGACTTACACAGGCTTCAACACATGTACTTCAATGTTGTTTTGGCTAACTTATTTTGGCTAATTTTAACCTGCATTTCAGCTCAAGTGCAATGTGCTTTTAAAAACAAAAATTCGTCATCAGCATGTTTACTTTTGACTTGTGAAACATCTGGAATAATAGCTTCACATCTTTTTCTTTCATCTATTTGTAAGTAATCATCATCATGATTAAACACCCCCGATGCCTCTGTAACCTCATCAAGTAATTCTTTGGAAATAGCTAGACCTCATTATACAGACTAATATGTAAGTACTTAGGTTAAGAAATAAAGTAAGAAAACAATTTATACTACTTTGCACCAGTTTATAATACCATATTCTTTGACATTATATGCTTCTGGGAAATTATAGACATGGTTTGGTATCCCCTTAGGTAACTTGGCATTTTTCTGTGATCTCGCTCCAGGTGAATTCCCAAACTGTCTCACAAAGCACATCTAACTATCGCGTGATCACTGGTATATAAATAAAAGCCATAAGGTATTATAAAGAAGAAATTAGAACATGCAAATATCATAAAAGATAGGAGTATAAAAATCATGGTTCTTGACAAACCTATCAGTTTGATTATCAGGTTTATATGCCCCTTCATCAAAAAGTCTACATGGCTGCCTTTTGAAATAGGCCTCAAGACAGTGATGGCAGCTGCCCAAAGGGCATGCACAAGCAAGTGCCCCCACATTATTCAGACGAAAATTAAACAAAGTTGCTTAATACAATAAAGAAAAACATTTTGTTTACTCGTCAGGTCAGTTTCAGTTGATGACAAACAGACTACGTATGACAATGAATCACGGTAAACTCGGTCATTTTTCATTGCTGAGCTTTGAGGACAATATTCTAAGAGAAATTAAGTTGGACGAACTTATCAAATCCCACTAACTACTCTATCTCAAGTAGCATTCAATCATCGTATGCAAATACCTTACACACTATATTCTAAGTTTATATTTTCATCAGATGCTTGACAAAATTTGTGTTTAAATTTTGCTTTTGGACAAATGGGCAGCCCAATGGCCTATAGAAAACGCCAATGAACGCATGAGATAAAGAGTGAAGCTTCTTCGAAATTCAATGTTCTCAGCAGATTGTACCATCCACATATAAAATGAGCTTTCCTTAATATCGATTTTCCTTCGTCAATGATATGTTCTTATCATGTTTTTTTCTTTGTATTCATAGAGTTTCATGCAAAGTTATAGATTTAATAAGGCTTTTAATAAAACACTGCTCCCTCACACGAATGAATAGTTTCTTTTCATGGCAAGAAAAAGTTGTAGTAGACTTCCTATTGATGTTATTTACTCGTTTATATCACAACTCCTTCTTTGCACTGTATGTAAGAAAGGTATGGAAAACCTTATCCTTGGAGATCTCAAAGTTAAATCAGTCTTTATTACAAAGTTGACATGCATAATCGTCTAAAAGCAACATTTTTTGAATTTTCACCTTTGGCTTTAATTCTTTAAAGAATTGGTTGAGAAAACGTGTATATATACATATTCTTATTGCTTGTGAAAAATGGGAAATTATATTTAATCTTCAGGGATTAATTATAAATGTGCAATGAAGCATGGTGTACATGTTCTACACAACCAATAAAAAGTCAGGAAGGCCATTGAATATAATCACTATAATCAGTCAATAAGGATTGTGGAAAGTATTTTGGAAGAACATTTATGGAGCCTCCAATACATGCCCTTAAATAGTAGGGAAAACAGTGAGGTTTACGTGACGTTTCTTATGTTTCTTATATTACAAGTAATTTGTACATATAATACATTATACATTACATTACTTGAACATGAGCATAATGTGAATTAGATTGCACAATGTTTATACGTATTTGTATATATATACATCAGATTGCCTTCTGTGCTATTTATGTATGGATGCGGTATGAATTTGTTGTACACTATTCTATACATTAGGATAATAATGTCTGAGATTGTTCCCAAACATACACCAATAATCTGTACAAAGGAATTGTTTAAATGCAATGAACAACAGACCTGAAAAATATAATAAACTTTCAAGAGAGCAAATTAATGCTCGTAATTACTATTTTGAGAATGGCGTGAAATCTACAATTTGCTTTGAGGAAATAAAAACAGCTTTCGTAGAAACGTCTTGTCTGTGGACAAGGTCAAGGTGAGAAAGACCTTTTCTTTAGTCGTCTGCTGTCTTTTAAAAATTGTTCTTTATGCGATAAACTAACAATGAAACCAGCGCTATGAAATCTAAGCCATACTTATCTCAATCACATCCTTAAATTTGTATTTCTACTACAGAGTAATTTGTATGAAGTTCTACTTTAAACTTTCCTTTTTTTCGAAGAGCACATTCTTATAGAAACATTTGTAAATTGTAAAAACTTGTTTTGATTGTTCTATTGTTTGATTGTTTATGTATTGCGATATACAATAGACATCCGTTATGAGCAGAATTATAGGCTGTAAAACTTAGAAACTGTTGCAGTATTATTGTAACACTTGATGTTGTGATGTCAGTAACTTTTTCACAAAATTTGGCTGATGCTGCATGTTTTCAACAGCTTTTTCATAACTGAAGTTATGCTTTTTCGGAAATGGATTGGCAACAAAGTTGTTTCTGCAAAAGAAAAAGTCAATCTAATAATTCAGAGTCACCCTCATGTAATCCACCCCAAAACAACCACAGAGATTCTGGGGTTGAGTGGATATTATCTATTTTGCTCAGAATTTTTTAAATCAGGCAAATAAAATATTAAAATCAGTATCATCATTAATGGTTTAAAGAATGTTACCCATCAAGAATTTGCTATGATGAAATCTTTGACAAATTTATGCATTATTGCAGATGACGTAAAGAGGCTATCTCACCTGAGTGAAAAAAAATAAATTGGCTTCTGTCAAATGGATTGGTCTTGGAGAATCTGAGGAAAATAAATATATACAGAAATCTAATGACATGAAAAACAACCCAGCAACATTAGATGATGCTTAAAGAATAAAATTGGTTGATCAGCATATAAAACTTTTAGATAAGGAGGTAATAGTCGTTTTAATAAATTCATTGTGTAGAGCAGAGGTGGCATTAAGTAATTAGAATAAATTAGAATAGGCCATTGATTGGTGAGACTTTAGTCTTTGGAAATGTACATAATTAATGGTAGTCTGATAAAGGAAGTTTATATTGCCTTAACATTGCATGCATATCTGGAAGTGTTATGCTGAGTAAAACTCTTATTTTTGAGCATGTATTTTTTGTGCAAACATGCAGTGATTACCAGATAAAGTTTTTTCTTATTGCAAACTTGTTTTTCTTTTGACATGATAGTGACTTGAACGTCTTCTTGCAAGAAATTTTTTTTCTATTCTGGTTGTGTGGAATGTATCAGTTGAACTGTTTCAAAAGGTTATGGAGAAATGATTTATTAATAACAAGCTATATTTAATGGAAATATGAAGTTTAAAGTATGTGTGAAATTGAAAATTTATAATATATAATATCTTGAAACCATTCGCTAAACTGTGTTTCATGCCTTTGGGCAATAACCAGGTGAATGACAGTTTAGTTGATCGTTTCATATAATAATTTTACTTTATATTTTTATACTTTGCTCAATCTATAAAAATATTGAGCACTCTTTTTAACAAAAATGCACAAACTATAATTTTAAAGTGACAAGCCTGCTTCATGATTTCTCACTTTTCATTAAATTCTCTATAAAGAGTGAAAAATCACGAAACAAGCTTTTGGAATAAAATTGTAGTTTGTACAGCTAAAAAAAATTTGTGTGCTATATTTTGTAGATGTAGACCAAGGAAAACAGAAATGAACTCTTGAAGATGTAAGAATGCTCTTAAACATGAAGTAAAGTAAGTTCATTTTTTATTTATTCTTCGACACTGGACTTCACCAATGAGAGTGACGTAACCATACAGGTACATTTTTAACCACTACGGGGCCTGAATAAAACATTTCACTCTATGGCTGCAAGTTTAAAAATTATATTTTGAAAAATTTTTTTGTTAAATAGTTTTGAAAACAATAAAATTGTGTTAATAACAGTTGTAAAGGTTGCCTGTATATTCCTGAATAGTAGTGTTCACCTTTTTTGATTCGCCTGCAATAATAAATCCTTCTGTTTTTGAATAAAAAGTTTATGGAAGATACAAAAATATTTCCTGTGAGTAATTTTGTAAAAAATTACCCTTGTTACAGTCAAGTTGTCAAGACATCATGATTGTTAGTTCTTGTCAGTGAGCATTTTTCATAAAGGTGAAGCAAAAGGTGTGACTGTTTCTCGCGTTCCTTTTCATGTTGAAGGACTATCAGATGACATTCGCTTAAAGAAGCCATGGCAATATGGCTCAAAGGAAATACGGTGAATAATGGAGTTGCCTGGATAGTATTTCCTTCATTCTTGAAACGTCAGAAGGTGCACCCTGATAAAATTTTGGTGAAGCCTTTAAAGGACAAATGCAAGCTAGAAGACAACTTTATTTTATTGTAATGCCGATAGCGTGAAAACAAGACGTACCAAGTTTCAAAGTCTCCTGGAAAATATTTCAAAAGATATTTAGGGTTATAATCGGTAAAAACACGATATTCGATGACCATTTCTAAAACGCCATGAGATTGTTTAAGTTTGGGAACTGGGAAAGAGTGACGTATTAGTTGACATAAACAAGCATTGTTCTTACATCGTTCTACGACTTGCACGGCTTTCGGTAACTGGCTATTACTGTTTTTTATTTAACAAAAATTAATCCTTCTTCCATAGAATAGAGAATATATAGAAAGGCAACTCGCCGGTGAAACGCGTGGCATATTTTCTGTGCGCATGCGTTAGGCCCGCCATTACTCTGGCCAGTAACTTGACGCTGGCGTACTATAAAATAATATTGGAAAAGTGCGATTTTGTGATAATAATCGCCTAAAACGCAAACTGTTTTGGAAGATCATGGAATTTTGTGACGAAACGTGAAAGAAATAAGGTGAGAGACCATTATTTAATTGCTGGCAAGTCCGTAAAGGTTTTTTATTGGTAAAAATTACATGTTTCAATGTAGGGTGTTTATTTTACTGCTATGGAGTTGTCAGTAAGTTAGGTGAATAGAAGTCCAGAAGTAAAATCTCTTGCGTTTTCGTCCATTCTGAATTATAAATTTCAAACATTTGAGGTGTTATTATAAATGTATTATTTAAAACACAAACTTGTCAGAGTATTACTTGTACCAACGCTGTAATATTTCAGGTTGAAACTTGCCAACTTGCTAAACTATAAATCAAGTTAATCAACCAGCTAACCAAGTAATCCAATAATGATTCATGATGCTTGTGTGTGAATTATAACTGATAATAATTTGCAACATTCGGTTTCAAACCATGGAGGGTTTGTTTATCATTTTAAGCATGAGTGAAATGTTAATATGTTAATAGTTGGGCATTTTTAATACCAAATGTAGTTTTAGTGAGGTATACACTCTGTTTGCCTTATTTATACATTTTGCCTAGCTGTGATTTGTGCTCTATTAAATTTATTACCAATAGTTATGATTGATTTTCTGATATTTTTCTCTAGTTGTTATTTTGGCATTCAGTTCTCAAGTGAGGATTATGTTGCAAGTGTCTTGTGTTATGTAGTTTTAGTATGTTGGATTAGATTTTAGTGGCTACTTGTTGCAGTAGCATGTTAAACTTTGTTTGTTAAATTCTATTACGTTTTTATTATGATTGGGTGGTTTTTGTAAGGGTGCTCTATTAAACATTGATCACAATTTCTTCAGCTTAATTGTTTAGTATACCAATATTTATTGAGAAATTAGCATTTCTTCTGCACCCCCATCTAGCTTAAGCTAGGAGGGCTGCACACCCCTCTCTTATATCCATCTCTTAATAAATTTGTCATTAAATTTTTTAAATGTAAATATGTGTACTGAATTGCTGTATTTTATTCTGTATATTCTATTGCATGAAATGCAAACATTCTAAATTTAAATTGTTTTGTGATAAAGATTTTTGTGCACCATGTAAATCTTTAATGACAAAGACATGTTTTTAGCCTTGTACCATTAAGAAAATATGATATTTATTATATTGCTGTTATTCTGTACATATTTTTCACTCAGAAATGTCTTTATCAAAATAAGTTTCCAATGTTATTCAATTCTCAAATCGCCCAAACCATTGTATATTGGGTTTGCTGTGGATCATTCTCACGTGTGCATCTCTACTGCAACTTTTTGATTCGAGAATATAAAGTTGTACATTTTCTATTTTTGGTACTATTCGTTGCCAGGGAGGCAATAGTGATAACCCCATTCCAACCCAATTTATGCAAGCATTTAGAAAGCTTTTCTTCAGTTCCCTTCTAACCTGTTCATCTGGAAATTGTGACAACGACCTTTATTCTATGCTGGTTGAGTATTCCAAAAATGTTGCAAAGAATAAAGTCAGCCAGAAGAAAATGGTTCAAGTCTTTCCACCTCCGCAACCACAAATTTTAGCAATTGGTCCTACTAACTACAAGGAGCCAAATGTTGTTACTAATTTTTTTGAGAAAGATAAACATTACATATGAATAAAGGCTTGTTGTGTGTTCATCATAATTTGCTAAATATGCCACCATTCATCAATGCAGTCAGCAAACAGTCAGCAAGGCAACATTCTTCTGTTTCTTGTTTACATATATGTATAACTTGTTAGAAAATGTCTGAGCAAATTGAAATCACTTTCAAAAGAAATCAGTAGAGCACAACGGAATATATGAATATGCACCCCCCAATTAACATTCTAGTTACTTCTCTGTTTGCACAGTATATATATTTTTTGAATTGCACGTACGGGCCACCGAACATTGTCCAATTGAAACGCATCATTTTTACTAGTATTTATTATAGCCATTCCTGCTTATTTCGAATTGCCGGAGTGAAACGAAGTGCGTGATTTCATGCAAAGCGGGAATATGGTTTTGTTACTAGGTAACAACTGGAAATGTAATATGAACGAGGAAAATTTACAAATACAATTCTTCAAAAGTGCGGAAAAATGAACGATTGGTAAAACTCTTAAGAAATATCCTTAAAATTTACAGTGTTTTATTTTAGGACAATTTTTAGTACTGCTGGGCAGGCAGAGCAGGACCGCTAGCTACGCCACTGAGTGTCGTTGAAATGCTAATCTTGAATATAAAGTACAATGTTGAATGCATGGAAGCTAGATTTTTAAATTAGTGTGCAAGTGATTCATAACGTAATTAAGAGTAGTTTCTACCATGCACGTACAGAAAATAGGATACGTGACAGTAGTGGCGTAGCCAGTCCGCAAGTTAGTGGCTGGCATTTTATTCAAATTCTAACGTGAATGAAAAATTTCTAACATGAATGAAAAATTTCTAACATGAATAAGAACGACTATAGTTTTTCAAGAGCAATAACATGCGGAATGTACATGAGAACATATATTTGCTTGTATAACCATCTTTTAATGTTCTTAAGAGAATATAAAAGCACACAATTATAATATTTCTACAAATGCTGTTTGTGCAATCTGAAATGTTCTAAGTTGTTTAAAGTAATATAGTGTTTTATTATTTGTTATGTCAAAAAGAGTTTACAGACAGTTAATTCGATGTAAACACTATTTTCATATCATGCAGACAGGAAACAATATTAAGTATTTATACTTTTTTATAATATATGTCATAATAATAGCGTCAAATGATAGCCGTTCTCCGATATTGTCAACATTAGACATTACAAGTTCCATAAATTAATCTATTTTATATTCTCACACTGTTAACAACAAGATATGGTCCCTTTAAACAAACAAGATAAATGTTTTTCAAAGGTAGATGGACTTACCAATAACATGGACAATGTTCAGGAGTAAAGCCAAAAATAGATTATCACAATAAATATATATTTATTGAGATAAATACATATAAAGTCATGCATATAATATTCAAAATTTGCTCATGTTTTCACAAAACGCTTACCCACTGCAATTGTAACTTGCTGAACGGCATGATGTCATCTTTACAACGCCCAAAAAAACTTTTGATTTTAATGATATTTATCAACAGGTGAAACCAGCATTTTTCTCTAAACGTAATGAAACTAAACATAAATATGAAAAACTGTGCAGTTTCTTACCATGCGGTGAACCCGCAAAGCATTTATTGCATCAAGTCGAATATGAACTAAAGACAAAGTTTAGAATGAATTGGATTATCTTATATGGACTAGGTCCAGTTCAGTTCACCAAAGGAACTGCGCCCGTTTCAAACTTTACATGACCTGAATGCATTTAAAACAAAATATGATGAAAAAGTTGATCTTCTTTCCTTTCGTCTTTAATGCAATCGGCGCATGTAGAGTTCGACGTTTGAAACAGGGCTTAATTTTAGCTTCTCAAAAAACATAATCTTACTGCATGCTCTTATTTAAGTCATATGTCAATTCTTTTTCAATCATCTGCATAGTTACGGTAAGTCAATATGATTTTTCCCTCTCGGCTTTTCATTCTGAAAAATATAAATCTTCCATGAAAATTTGCATAAGTTCATGTCTTAAAGAAGAAACAATTTTAAAAACCTACCTTTTGAACTAGCAAAAAAATGAAATATATATTGCTTTTATTTTTGTTCATATTTCTAACTTCTGGATAGAACAAATGAATACAGGCCGAACTGAGCTCAATCTAAACGTCTTTATGAAAGATTAAAATATATGTTGCGTGTATAAACAACTGTATTTATTTATAATTAAGTAATTTGGGCTGGAGTTAAGTTTTCATTTTTATGCAGAGGTCTTCTTTACATGCATAAACGATGTTACTCACGCAATTACCCAAGCAATCGCTTTAATCCGTGTCGTGAACGAGTCTTAGTTAAATACAACACGATGTCGTACGTGCAACAAAATCTTTGTCAAAGTCATGCACCACAACGCATGCGACAAGATACATAGCAAAATGCTCTTGTGAGGGTTCCTTTCCACAAAAGATGCACCGTGAGCGAGTTTTGCTTAATTAATGTAAAGGTAACATTCGCAACAATTGCGTTAAACTACACTTTATATTGTTGACAACGCAGTGAAACTGCCAGTTGTAGTTGTCTCAGGTTGTTCAACAATTTCCTAGAAGGCTTTCAGGTTCCTCTTAAAGTTTATGCTCTTGCTAAAAGAGAGATTTTGGCAATGTAGTTATTTTTTCATTTTTACAGTTATACCTGCAGTAATATAGCTAGAGCATTAGCGTTGATTGTGACATTTTGCCACCACAGCTGCTTGATATTTCATTTCAACACAAGGAAATTTAATGCAACTTTTTCATACAATTCAAACATTTCATTCAGGCAATACGAAAATTCGAATTTGAATTCTCATTTTTTTAGATGGGTGAGATTTTTGAGCGCTAGGTTACAACGTAACATTGCTTCAACCACATTCTCTAATATGAGAGAAGGTAGTATGATTTTTATCTTATCTTCGTCAGTTTTAGTTGTACGTCTGATGTTGCATAGATTGTAGTTTAAAATGTAACCCATTGACGTTCAACTTGAGTATAAGTATCCTATAGGATACTTATTCAAAATATAATTGAGTACTGTTTTACAGCTTTTTTAACCTAGCTAGTAGGAAGTCAATTTTTGAAGTACTTACTTGCGCTTCCTTCAAAGTCATTAGTAATGTCACCACTCGACAACGCCCGCTTTATTCGGATCTCTTCATCAGGAGTCTCACGAAGGGCAAATATGTTGCAGTCAGATCCAACTAAGTAAATCAAAGTTATTTATAGTTTCGGAACGTTAGAAAGAAGTTGTCCTATATCCAAAATAATCCCAACTACAAACCTTTGGGTATGTTTCACCCTGAACCTCTGTATCACAATATAGCGTCTACGTTTTTAGAAGCAGAATGTAAAAACACTTTTTTTGAAAGTTTTAAGAATCAAAACTTTTATATTCTACATGAGATTTTTCTGTGTTGGCGTTAATAAATTGCGTTTTATTAAATTGCGACAGAATTTTAATGCTATATATAGACAGATAACATTTCTTGGTTTTTTAGAAAGCGCGGATGACAAAATTTTGAGTGTTGTCCATCTTGTTGATCACATCAACTTTCATCAAAGCTTTATTTAACATTGTAAAAAAGTTGTGCTGCATTGTCTTCTAAATTAAATTACTTTGTTTGTATACATACGTACCTTCATTACTGCAAGAGATTTGCAACTGTGATGTCTTCTTCCATTGAAGATTATTTTGAAAGACTTCTCCACTATCTAAAATAAATTTAAATTGGCTTGTAAAAACATGTTTTGGAATAACAGCTCGTGGCGCTAAACAGTCGAGTGGATCATATATCAGAATTCAAAGTTCAAAGAGAAACTTCAATATGACTACTCTTTCTTGTGTTGTATTAATCATGTTGTGGTTACAACAAATATTTATTTTTCAAAACTGACTGTGTACAATCCCATATGCAAATTATGAACAGTTTATTAGGATTTATTCCATCATTGGAAAGGTGTCCATTTTTAACTTTTGTCTATGTATTTATATATGAAAGAAAGGCTCTATATAGTTGCATTTGCACAATATAACTTATCAGTTATTTAATGCAATAAAGTGAACTAACAAATAATTGCAATGTTTTTAAAATATGTAACAGTCCTTTACATGTGCTGGGTTTTCTCAAAAGTATTTGCTCAAGCTTATTTTAACATTTGAAAACGCTTTCTGCGAAGCATATCTCTGTCAACAGATTAGAAATGGTCTAGTATAAATACAAAACAAAGCATTCCCCTTAAAATTCGTTGTATCACGTACTAAGCAGCTCAGATTAGAGTCTTTCACTCTTTATTAATTTATGTATGTAAGTAGCTACGTTTTACTAGGATAAGAAGCAGAAGTTGATACTTAATGAAAGGAAATGGCAAAATGCTCTGTATACTCTATATACAACATGAGAAATCTTTAACAAATTAAATATATGTTTGATCGTGATTAAATTGAGCTCTTTTTTTACATAAGAATTGCAACTTCATGCACTAGTCTTTCCTTCAGAACACCAAAACCCCTCATTTTTTTATTTATGCAAATGACATTGTTATGTCATGACAGAGCATGAGTTTTTTCCTGATTCACCTTTGATGTATTTCTTCTCTTTCATTACGGTTCACCTTGCATAACTACTGCCGTTACCGTTCTGATCTGACTATCAAAAATTGTCTTTACACTTAATCAATTTCCAACAATCATATTATGTGTAGAGTACCCTTACAAAAATACCAGCTTTGTTAAGCGATACAAAAACTTATGCCTTAAAAAATGATATTTCGTGTGTTACTTAGCATAACAACCGCGTAAAGGTGTTGTAAAAAACTGCCAACTCCGCATAATCTCGTTAATAGAAGTGCATAGATTGCGATTTAATGTGATCGTAAAATTGGACCCTGGATAATTTTGTGCCGAAAGTCGAAACAGGTGATATTTTACTGTATTAGACCGGCCAACAATATGTTGGAGTTATTTGCATGTTTAAAAATATTTTGCAGAAGAACTTTCTCAAAGCAGTTGCAAACAGCTGCGACTCCCTCCACAGTTGTTCTCCCCACAAATTGTGCATGTCAACTTGCTGAGGGAGACAGCAACGTCTTGTCTTTATGGTATTGTACATGGTGTTTACTTGCTGATAACATAACAAGTTCAGAAAGATGTACTTTGAAGTGCTAAAGAAATTCTTTCAAGAAGTGTAAGTAAGTATTCATGTAGTTGTGACTTTTGAATTACTAATATTTTCTCGCTGAATGCCGATAACAAGAAGAAAATACATGTTGCAAAGCTCTCAACTTGCACCCTTGCTTATTACAAAGACAAACCTAGAAAAGCTCCGCATGGAAGTTTTGTTCTTTCTGCATAAAATCTCGACAAAATAATGTGACTATAATCAAGTTAACAGTCTATCATTATAACATTAGTAATTTAAAATATTTCAAACCTTGTAATTATAATTTTCTATTTTTAAATTATTGTAACACTGTCACTATCCATGTGTAAAATCATTGATAAATAGTTATAACTCACTTATTTACAAACACAATAGCAATAGCAATCTTGGAATAACTATTATTATAATGAATCAGGAGGGAGTGAATAATAAAAATAATTTTTCAAGTGGAAGCTTTTCATCCAAAATTTCCTTGTGGCATCAATGTTTTTGATAGCCGGTTCCAGCCCCCTTTGTACATCCAGTTAGGTTAATAGAAATCAATGATGGCTTGCTGTTAATTATATTTCGTCATTGGACGATGTCACGCGCACGTAATCGATGACTCAGTTGCCTGCGTAGTTTTCGAGCGAACGGTTGTTAGTTTTCTTAAACCGAATAAATTAACAACGAAAGATAAAAGATAAGCACACCTGATGACGAATTTGAAATATGGTTATTGGAAGACGAGCCAAGAGGTAGGAATGAAGTGACAACAGGAAAATCGATATCAGTAGTGCTGGCTAATGTAGTCGACAAAGTGGAAATATTAAATGTCATAATAATACAGTTGACGGTGCGTCTCTTGACATGATGGAGGATAATTACACGGATTCAATACAATAACAGTTTAACACACGGCATGTTACAGAGTAGTAGATGAGAAGCACATGGAATAATTAATCAGAATTTACATAGTAGTCCAGGAAGTTTGTGATCAGACTCCAACAAATACCGTCAACATGAATAGTTCCAATAAACAACTGAAATCACTCGTTGAAATCACTCGTTGCGTTTAAAACAGATTCCCAGATCTGCATGCGCATATTTAATATGACTGCTTAGTTTCCTTGTCCATTACCTCATAGAATTAAAATCAAACTTCAACTTACAAGTAAGTCACCTTTAATTTCTACATTTTTTTGCATTGCGAATATTTTTTGCATTGAAGACATTTCTTTTCATTAGTATAAAATTTCATTTTGCTTCGTGAATCAATTTATTTTGTATTTATTATTACTGAATACCAAACTTATTTTGCGTGCAAGAGACAAAACGTTTTTGCATTAGAATGTTTAGTTTTGCACTACGTATTTGTTTTGTGAATTGCACGTATGCCCCTCTACTTTAGCATCAGATTTTTGGAACGATTTATTCATATTTTCCTCCATATTTTAGCACATTTACGGTGTCATATCAAATGCTCGTGGTTACATTAAAATTCCACATCGTTCAGCGGAGACAACTCGTCAAATTGCAATTATGTGAGTGATTGGGGCAAATACCGTCCCAACTGTACAACCGATGTTCAGGCAAAGCGAGTTGACTCGTTTACCATCTAATCCTATTGTAGCTGTTAATAGGGTTTATTAAAATGGTGCAGTATCAGTAAAACTGTCTCATTTAGGTAATCGGTTACACAGTACAACTTGGTCCATATAATCAGCCCCTAAAACAGTCTAGTGTTTGATAAGAAACTGTTTTGCTTTTAATATATCTATTTTCTTTTACAAGCAAGGCAAACTTGTAACAACTTTTATGAAATGTAGTTAACCTTTTTTAAATTTCATTCAAATTCTAAAAAATCATTCAAGTTTTACATTAAAATATAAATCAAATTTGATTGATTATATCATCTTGCCAACTACGGACTGCATTATGGCGCTCGATCATGTATGTGACTAAATTATGCACACATCTTTCTACCGCTTATATTATCTATAAATCTGCACTTAAAATTTTAATTTGGTAGTAAATATAATTTATTTATATCATGTGACAGATATATGCAACTGCAAAGTTTTGCGTGAGAATACGAACAAACCAAGTTAAATTTTTGTATACCTACCAGCAATTAGCGACCACCATATAAACAAGACTACGAGCTGAAGCATTTTATGTCGAGTAACCGATCGCAGCATTATCAGGCTTTTATTTTTCTTGCGCTAGACAAAATTAATTCATATCACTTTCCATTGCTTTTAAAGGGCTGAATTTTAATTTTTATTTGCAAAAATTAGATTGTTTGGAGAAAAAACTACGCATTCGCAATACGTAGTTTTTTAATCTTAATAATATGTCAATTTTACAGTCGTTTGTGTCATTTGTGCAATTATCGCATACCCATGTCAATAAAGAAAGTTCTACAGCTTTGACGATATCGGAACAAAGAGTGATTGGAATTTTTATGTATGACATTTTCAAAGTGCAAATATATTCCATGTAAGATTTAACGCTTAAACGTCACTGATAATTTCTATATATATTTAACATTTAGATATTATTTACCCAAATTGATGCTAAATCTTCAAAGCTGCCGGTTCATTATTTCAAATGGAATAAATAGAGTTGAAAGACAAGCGTAGTGATATATTATCATATTATCATTATGGAATGGTTTTCTACATCTTTGTGAAGGTTATTTTCAAATTGATAGCTACTCAATAGATTTTTTAGTTTTAGATTTTTCTTTATGGTTTAAGTTTAGAGGAGTTAATGGACTATGCATATAGGTTTTTATAAAACTACATAAACATATTTATTAATATTTATTGCTCTCTTTCAAATTCGATTTTAGGTAGAAATTTATAAAAAATAATCCCTTACTTTTTCCTTATTCTGTTCTTCAAGTTTATTCTTGATACGTCGTGACGAATGAGAAATGTCCAAAACAGCTTCATGTGGGAGTGTTTTCCAACTGCCATAGAAACAAAAACTATTTTAGAATTCTTCTTCCATTCGAATGAACGCGCTTTGAAGTCATTTAAGCTGTTAATTGCTTTACACGCAACAACAGAAATTATAGCAATGAATTTGCTGGATTTTATTCAAACTCAAATTCCTAATCCTTACAAATCTTTTACATCGCTTTTAGAAGATTTTAGCATTTATTTTAAGTTCAAGCATTTATCGACCAGTGTTAGAAAAAAGCAAGTTCCACAAAAAAATGTGATTTGTCTGTTTTTAAATGACTGTATAAAATCTTTTCTGAGTTTCTAACGCTCTTTGTCATGATTGGATCTTGTGGTATTCATTTTCAAGTCAATCATGCTGCAAAACCCCATAATTGTCTTCATATATGGTTAGTATTATTTTGTTATTTTGCTCTGTCTTTATTGATATTGAGCACTGTAAAGTTTCAGTATCGTTTTCACGATATTTTATAAAATCAGCAATATTTATTCTGACCCTGATAGTCTATTTCAATGCAAGGTAGAATGGATATATAGCAAAATCTCTCTCTCTCTCTCTCTCTCTCTCTCTCTCTCTCTCTCTCTCAACAAGTCTTTATCTTGAGCTTTGTGTATTGTTCATCTTCAAGGGCGGCTCTAGGGTATGTCAAAAGAGTCATGCGACCACGAATATTTTCCTAAAAAATAATTATTTAACTTTGAGTACAAGGTGACCAAAATGATGAGTGATTACGTTTTTCTTTTTTCCAAAGTCCGAGTGGCAGTTCAGTTTTATGTGAAGTTATAATTTGAAAAGCATTTTATTTTATGGAGGCAGTGGTTAAGGAAAGATTATGATATCTCTTTACAGTTATATTTATATTATTTAAGTGAGAGTGTATTGAATTTCTAGACGATGGAATTATTTACAAGTTGAATATCGTGCTGATGTGATGTATTTGTTTATTGAGGTTTTTGTGTGTAGCGGCTGCGCATGCGACACTGAACATGAATCCAATACATATTATAGTACAAATATAGTACGTTTGCTGTGTGAAAACTTATAAGCGTCTGTCGGCGTTCAAAGATCCAAGCAGAGGTCATTTGCAGTCAACACAGAGTCTTCGGTGGCTTATTTCTATCAAATTGTTCTTATTTTGAGAAATATTAAACAGAAAAATCGTATCGTGGCCTAATAAATTGACTTGCATCATATCGCCTGTGTTATCTATTCAAGCGGAACGAAATACGAGCTCTACTCATCGATTTTACTGTGAATTATCTTCACTAACTTTAACTAATACTTTTAATTCAAGATACTAGTAAAATGCCGGCTCTCTGGCGATAACGTATATCACAATTATATTTCGTTTCAGCGTGCGGTACAAGCAACCTATGAACTTAGTTGTAAGTATTGTGTAGTTGTGTCTGGTATTGAGTCCAATTCGGTATTATTTGCATTTCTTATACATTGCTCAGTTCATTCATACTGATACACACATACAGTACTCTGTTGGTTAATTTAATCAAGCGCAGAAAACAAATGAATTTATTTCGCTTTTGAATTTTGTAAGAAATACAAATATTATTAGTGAAAATTTTCAATTTTAACTAAGATTAATTACCTTATAAAGCATAGACTTTGTCGTTTTGGAAAATTTGAATATCGCCTTAAAAAGAGCAACTGCCATTGTAAATGGCCTGAAATCAAAGAAAAACAAAAAAACCCAAGAGAAAACCAAAATTTGTGAAAAGAACTGTTATACAAATTTAAGACACTATATGCGTTTCGGCAGACAACTCGTCAGGTGTCAACGTCTGCTATCTGTTAAGGATAATCCACTTGTATATATGTCAATTGTTTTGATAATGACTCAGCTCAACTGAATGAGTTAATTTCCTTACTCGTGGTAGTCAGGTCAACAACAAGGAAGAGGAAAACGGGCTGAAGAGTAACAGGGCTTATACTGATTACAGTCGACAAGATTACGATTAGTAATTGATGCCTTGCTGCAGTAGGATGTATCGTGGTTTGTCACTTTGTTATGGGATATAGATTGTTACATGTTACCTTTCGGCTTTAGTAATAAGCAGGGTCTTAAACCCACGAAAAAGTCTGATTTGAATAATACATAGATTCCCACAAAGGCGCCAACGACATCTAATCTAACCTAGACTGACTAGACTAAAACTACATCTTACAAAAACTACAACCCCTCTACAAAATCATCTTCTGTCCACCCCTTTTTTTAATAAATTAACTTTGCTCATGCTGATAAGTCAAGGTATTATTAATGTTGAAATAATTCAATCACTTTTTTACAAACACAACACTATTGACTAAATTCCATCACGTCCACTACATTCCCTTCCAACAACCCTTAATGGTTATATTTCTTTGAGCAACGTTAAATAACATTGTGTATTTGGTAAAAATAAGTCAACTCATCAATATGAGCCAACTTTAAAAACTTTAGAATGATTTGTTTTGATGAATAAAAAACACTACATCTCTTGGAATTCGTCGCATATTGGCATTTACTGCGTTAAAAAACAATAAAACCAGGATAAACTTTAAGGTTTAATGGCTCATTTGAAGCATCCAAAAACGAAACAAAATGTTAAAACAACGCTAAAGGCAATTTTTTTCCTAACAAAAAAGAACTAAAAAATTAGGCATTGGTGAATGTCATGAAGGAACATATATTTCAAAATGAACACTAACGTTTCAACTTTTTAAGTGCCGCCGAATTTTTCAAACAAACTTACTTTTTATTGTTCCATTGAAGTGTCTTTCTTTTGGGCGCAAACAAACAATTCATACAAATCATGTCAAAGCAAAAATGAGAATTTCTGTATTTTAATTGAAACCACGATTGACATGTTTTCTTATTTGAATTTCAATTCATAAATAAATACAATTCTTTTTACTTAAAATCTATGCACCCCAAGTCCACAAGCGATAATAGAGTATATTATGTTCAAGGATGCTCTTTCATCGTTCTGTACAGTTCTTAGCTCTTTTGGCTGTTTATGTTTTTTGTATCAGTTATTTCCAGTTTCTTCTTTATAATTGATGTTCTAAAAAGTGCTTTACTACATTATAATTTTATGATGAAAATCGAAATATTGTATTAGTCAAATTGGAGAAAAATAACAACCATAAACAAAACCATAATAATTTAACAAAACGACGAGCTTTTTCAGCAGAATGAAAGCATTCAATGCATGAGATCAAATACATTGAAGTTGGCAAGTTGATTTTTAGAGGCTTACATTTTCTGGTGCATGTTCTATCTTTTGCATTATCGTAGTTTTTTTTGTTATAGAATAAACGTAGCCAAAAGTTGGCAACCCAGCTTAAAATTGCTATAATTGAAAAGGAAAAGCATAAACCACAACTCAAAACATCAGTAAATCACCTATAAAAAGCAAAAATGCATGGATAAACATTAGTTGACTTCCTTACAGGCGTTTAGTTGTTAAAGTAAAAGGCAAATTTTCTCATTGTAAGCATAAACATAAATGATTGCAATGGAAAGACAATGTTTGTCTCTATAGCAAACTAAAGTGCTTACACAAGTTGTCGTTAAACTTATGTAAGAACTTGGTTGGCACTAATTAGACCATAATGATAATTATATTTTGAGATTTTGACATTTCTGCTTCAGTGACGCTACAAGCACTCAGCAGATGTGATAGCTAAATTATATCTATAACCATAGGTAAATTATCCTTACCGATCTCGAGTGAAATTTATCCTTACAGATCTCGAGTGAAAGTTAATTATGCTTGTTTATACAACATATTTAAAGTAACTGTAACAAGAAGAGTTAAACACCGATTCTAATAAGACGATCTTGAAAACCATATGATTAACATAAAGGTTATGTTTCTTGCTTCTGCAATGAAATCTTATGCTTCATCATGAGTCTAACATGCTACAATAATGAAACAAGAACTGAGTATTCTTTCATCATTATACGTATCACAACAATACAGAAACTGTAACTGCAAGTGAAAGCTTAAAGGCAATTTTCGTTACAGTATTCGAAGGATTTTGATTCAGTTTTAGCAACATTTTTTATTGTGAGATTTTTTCGCAGTGACATTTTGCCACCGCAGCGATTCTATAATTTATGGCAGCCATTTAATCGATGACTGCACGTTACCTGCTGACAATAATATTTGTGATGAAACATACTTGTCATTTCGTTTTGAAACCCAGAACCACTTGCAGAACCACTTATTGCCATTGCACGCTTTATTCGAACTTGTCGAACAGGTTGTTCACGCACTGCGAATATTTCACAGTCTTTTGCAGCTGAATGTTTTAAAGAAATTCAATTAATTCTCTGTTCGCAATTTGTTGCAATTTAGTTTATGTTGTGATTATGTTCTGAAAACAGTATGAAAATGCTAAAAGATATTCATATTGTCAAAAAACAAATTAAACGAAGAACTTCGTACTTCCATCCTGGCAGGATGTTCGTATATCGAGTTTCATCTCCCATTTGGCTTTATATTCACCTAAAACATATAATATAAATGTAAAACTACAGTCAAATCTACACCCCACTAACTTTTTAATAAGAAAAGTAACAAGAGTATGTCCCTTAATGCACTGTTGGTTTCATTACGAGAGAGCTATGTGCTTTATTTAAGATGTTACACGCAGGAAGTGAAGTCGATTTTTCGATCAGTTGATGATCAAACATATGTTGTGGCATGATATATTTAACAAAATATTGTATCATCTAGCAAGTCTCATTTTTGAAGTTACATCAAAAATAATTTATAGTTCAGCTCATGCTAGATTTAAAGTTTATGGGTTATTGCAGCTGACGCTCTTCTCATTAAAATTGAATTTATACCTACCATAAACAAGTGAACTAGGCGCAGCACATAATGACGCCAACAATTGAACTAGGTGCAGCACATAATTTGCCATTTCAAATGGTGGCTTTTGTATTTTTGTTAACTCGATTCTAAATAGAATAATTTTTTGATTACGACAGCTATTAGCAAAACATATCAATACTACGTTCGATCTTCCTTAGACATAGCTTTTCCTTCGTTATTTTGATTTTGTTCTTTAAAACGTTTTCATTATTAAAACTTCAAACATGAGCAATTTCGTAATTTACGGAAGCACAAAGAGTTTTTGTCTTCCCAATTGGCACACTAACTGCTCTATTGTACAGATTTCAAACGATTTAGGAATAAAAACATAGCAAAACAGCACTCTTTTAATCATATAAATTTGCTTGGGTATTTTTCTTATGTGGAGTTAACTAGCTAAAACACCGAATCCGCCTACTAAATATTGGAACATTAGTAAAGGATGATTACCTAACATTAAATCTTCGCTTTTTGAATACTAGCACAAATTAATCAGAATATACGTCGCTATCATGAAGATGTTTCCAGCATAATTACGCATATTTTCAGGTACGCTGAGTTTCAGCACGGCTTAAAATCTCAGCCCGGGCCTGTTATAATATTCTATAAAAATAGCGTAACGCCCGGGCTGCAATTTCAGCGTACGCCCGGGCTGCAATTTCAGCCCGAGTTGAAACCACAGCTGAAAATATTCACGTATGCGTAATCGCGTACCTATTGCTTATGATGACGGATGACGACAACAAATTAATGACACTGGCGATCATGCCTCAGACGAGTCTCTTAAATTTCTATCTGGACTAAACACAGCGCTAAAATTGCCATAAAATCACACAACCGGGCTGAAACTCAGCCTGGACTAAAATTTCTCCACGTAATCGGCCCTTGATCAACACGACAGATTGATGCACAGTTTTGATTTTATGAAATTCTCCATTCATTCACAAAACTAAGCCTTTTCGTCTGTTTTTTTGTTAAGAGACAAAAAATTCAATTAGATCTGTTAGGTTTGGTGAGATTTTAAAACCTACTACAAAATAAAAACAATTTACATTTTGCATAAAAAGAATTTGCGACGTGTTTCATTCGTGGGCGTCAAGTTATATTTTGAAATTTTATCAATTTTACATTTAGATTAAAGCTTATTTAGAAACGTATTCTATTTTGTCAAAATCATTAATGCTCTAGGTAACGAAAGTTAGGTTTGGTAAGTTTAGTGATCATGCGACTCCTTAGCTACACGGCATATTCCTTAAACATAAGAGCCCCTTTTCCTTTCGTATTTCACTTCCAGTTTATTATATATATAGTTAATAATTTTGATTGAGACAATCGCTGTACCTGAAAAACCGTATTGTTAAAAAGAATAACATAAATGGCGGTTAAATTTGTCAAATGATTTTTGCTTCTTGAAATCTTTTAAGACTTAGAAGAAATTTTCACGAACAAACTTGCAAAATACATTTCAATTAGAAAAATTGAATAATTTGTAGGTGCTGGAAAATATTTGACTAGAGTATAGACATCAAATTAATGTTTGTTAATATTTTACATAATGTTGAGGTTGTAATAAAAGAAAATTTACGAAATTCAAATTGACGTTTTTGTATTCAATCAAATTTGTCATAATATCTAAATAACATATCATGAAATACAGATTTACAATTGATTATTCAAGAAGTATCAACATTTATCATTTCCACATACCTTTTAAAAAATATTATTTATCGACCTCTTGTCCTAACTGGTCGTGTTTCAGCTAAGTTATGTGTGGACTTAATGAAACAGAACAACTAAGCACCGCGGATTTTGATGATAGCTATTTTGACGTACAATAGCATCTCCGTTTTCCATGGGAACAAAGATTAGAACATTCAAAATAATTGTAGGCAAGCAATTTGCTAGTGAATCACACAACGGAAAACGATTATTCAGGTATTTTTTAATGCCCCCCATTAAATAAAGTTATTGCTATAAACCACTCCGGTCTCTTAATTTTATGCACTTGTTAAGAACTATGAAGTGTTGATAAAAAGTAAATTAAAAAGCGGATGACCTTTGTTTTTTATCAAACAAAGCAAACAGAATTTAGACGACATAAAAATGCTTTGTGTCTAATTGGGAATGACGCATTGAAAAATATTTCAAATGCTTGAGTGTCAGCAGTTTATGACGCCTATGCTTTCGTTTACTTAAAGCAAATTAAACACAAAACTATTTATTTTGGGCAAATAAGATTGCAATAACATTTCATATAACGAGTGACATGTTTTGATATATACATAAGTAATGATATAATACTTGTCCACGATGACTTGACCTCATCATAATGACGATAATTTACTCGTTGTGACAACAATAAATCTAATTTTGGGTATTGCAATCGGCTTTGCCCTATTTTTGACACATCATCAGCTCGGCATCAGAGCAAAATGAATTGACATTTACATGACGCTGCTCTGCTTCAAAGCGAACAAAGAAATTCGCTGACAATTAAGCGGAGAATAGTTAAAAATACAGATAGCACGATTAGCTCAACATAACCGGCCAATTAAAGGTTGAAACACACATCTTGTCGTATCGCTACTCTTCAAACAGCTTGAAAAATCTCATTACGTCAAGACATCTGCATTTCTCCAGGATATCATAGCCCAATTCATGGGTCGTATGACTCGTATTTCCTGTATTTATTGCAGCTTTGTTCACCTCAAGTCAAAACATTTCATAGATGCAGTCAGCATGTTAAGCGCGACGTCGACCTTTCCTACTCTCGCAATTAAGCTGAAAAAGTTAATAATGTCATGAATTGTGATGCATGCAACGTACAAAAAGCAATCTTTCCACCAAACTATAGCTCGTATAAAGTACATCCTATCTGACAAGTTTCGTTAGTTTTGATTGAAATTTGCGCAAAACATTTCGCTTTGAGTGAACGTAAACACATAGTATTTCAAAGAGCACGTCACTTTAAACTTTTGAAAATTTGATTTCGATGTATTATCGTCAATATTCATCCAAATTTCACCAAACAACCATCAAAAAGATCGCGATTTTGAGAATGGCGTGAGTTTGTCTATGCAGCACTGTATTCGAGGCGCATTCCCTTCAATTTTTTTTAAAACTGGATTTCTGAAATTGCATTTGTAGCCTTCGCGGGGCATATTTCATCATTGAGTTGTGGTTTCTAGAGTCCAGAGACATTTTAACCATTGAAAAGAGTGATAAAATTTCAAAGTAGACCTCTCACGCCTTTAAAACAATTTTGATGACGTTGTGGCTTTTTCACGGATGTAGGAAACACAGGCCAGGAGGGGCTTGAGCCCACTTTTGGAAGCTGAGACATGAGCCCCCCTAAAAGCGAAGTGAAGAGTCTTCAATTGAATTCGCTGTAATGAAGTACTTGCCGGTTACCAATCTCCCTGAAATTTACTCGGTTTTCGCAATGCATTAACGGATTACTAGGTGGCGAACATTACTTCAGAGATATTACATTGAATGTGATAATAAAGAAAATTCTCATTTTAATGCGCCTATTTTCATCGTATTTTCATCTATATACAGCTATGAATGTAAACTCAGCTAACATTTTAACTCGGCGGATAAAATTCAAAATAAAAATTGCATTTCCAATCAAGTCTTCAAGATTAAATGATGTACGACAAAAAGCATAGAAGAAGAACTGCAGCCAGTCAAGGTCAGTTTCGCAAATGCAGTCGAATACCCAACCAGTCACCAAGACTTAAATTTGATTTTCAATCTCATACTAATAAAACCCACTTACCAAACTGGGAGAAAGACATAGAAATCCATTGGGTGACTAGGCAAAAATAAATTCTAATTTCTCTATTCCCGTTAGAATTACAAGCAGAACTAATCTAACAAAAAAGTGAAATCAATGCTTATCACAATATAATAAGAGTTCACATGACAGGAATACCAACAAATCTAAACAATATTACCGAAATAGACATCTATTTCACAAAACTCAAATATTCTCCTGAAGACGATGTTTCGAGATATAGCCTCCCAAAAGTCTTTCTAATCAACGAACGTTCACTTTTACCAAAATTGGATGAGTTAGTAGCACTAAGTAATAAGTATTGCCATTTTCATAGTATGTATTTACTGTCTGCATCGCATGTAATCATTAAGTTCATAGTATGGTCTGTCAATACACATGTCGCAAAATCAGAACTGTTGTGTCACTATGGCGCGTGAATGGTGTCATAATTCGATTTCTCATTCGACGAAATAAATTCGTCAAATTATCTCATTCGGCGGAACAAATTCGTCAAATTATATGCAAATTTTTTCGGAAATATTTCGAAGTAATATTCGCAAGTTCACAACATTGATTACAATTTTACAACAAGCTGTTTTCGTTTCCCGCCACATTTTTTGTTTTTATGATGTTTTCTTAAAATTTGATTGTTCTTAACTGCTCAAAGATTACAACAAAACGATGGATTTTAGAGATATCTTAATGCGCAGCGAAGCTAATTTCTACCACAGACAGTCTTGTACAAACGCCTTCAAGTGCTAATACTGTCGATGAAACACAAGCAACAACCACCAATACTGTCACACCAACAGACTCAGTGGTGCAGGGAACCAATACCATGAGCGGAACATGTACAGGTCATGACGGAATTACCACTGCTATATCAAACTTAGATACAGCCTCAAATAGATCAGTTCTTGAGGAGTATCGCAGAATTTTTGGGTATCGTCCCCTTGTTGCTACTTCCCATCGCCAAAGACATGCTGAAAGGGTTGTTTCTGCACGAAAACGCCAGACTGTCTTCTCTCCGAAGAATACGAGGACGAAAATTTTGCATGCTTGGCAAGGAAACAGCCGACAACTGCACCATTGGCTGCAGAGAAGATAGCCTTGTCATGCTGTGAACTGGGTGAACAGAAAATCATATTTCGCAAAGATAGAAATTCTGCCCACGTGCATGCCAAAATTATGGAAACTTTCCTTGCTCTGGTGAATGGAGGGGGTTACGACATACTTCGATGTTCTGAAGGTCAAACTAAAAACTTAATGGAGGTTTCTGCCCCTCCTAGTGAATATTCAGATGTGTATTTGAGTACGTCTTAAGTCAAGCTAAAGGATATTTGCGACCTATAAGGACAAAGGTCAAAATATGTCCTTACCCCCAGCCTTCTCGGTGGGCCTATTACCGTGCATCCTTATTCTATGGTTAATAAAAACACAAGTATGATCAATGTAACCATGAATATTACAATGAAAATAATTCTCTGGTGAAATATAATATGTAAACCAATGCAATTAATAAATGCTGGAAATAAAATTATTATAAACAGCATAATTCAAGGACTTATGAAAGAAAGTCATCTGCTTTCCATCTACCGAGTTTAGACATGTGACACCACTAGCTTTCTGTTGATTGTTCTACTTCACATGTTCAAGACGGTGTCGGAAGTCATTTTGTGACATTCGACCACCAACGTTGGGATGTCGCTCGTTGATACCTCTTTCAGAATTCTCTGCAATTCGTTCTTTTTCTTCTTTTTGCCAGTGAATTTCAGTGACATCTTACCGTGTATCTTTCTCTGTTTGGCAACACTCCTTTCTTCCTGTCAAGTATTTTGCCTTTGGAAGTTTCTTTCATGGAAAATCTGACTTGCCAATGCACAAATCCTTGATTGTGCGTGGCCTGCTTGATGAAGTTGAGTTATTTTTACTTTCGCTCTCGTATTTTTTTTTACATCTAAAGATAGCTGAGTATTTAAAGAGTGTACCATAATAGCGCCATGAAATGGTGACTTTTTCGAGAAAAAAGCTATCGTTGTAATAGTTTTATTCGTTCGGCTTTCATGGGATTTAACAGGGTATCCACGATTTTTTAGGTCCTGTTTTGCTTCGACATAATGGAACCATTATGCAATTTATCAAAATGTCCCGAAATAAATATTAATCGTTGTATCTTGCCAAAACCCAAAAAGCCAGAAAAGACCACTTGCATGTACCCGGAGAACAAGGTTTTAGACAAGAGAATCTTTGCAATGGAGAAAGCATGTCAGACAAATCGATGATGTCATAAGTCGTTTAGATGAAGTGATTGATAGTAATTTTACAACTCGTATTAATAAATGGCACAAGCAATGTTACAGCCATTTTACCCAAAAAGCAAGAACTGAGCAAGTCACAAAAAGGCTGAACAAACGAGCAGAGGCCAAAAAGAAAACCACACACAGCGATCAAGGTGAACATTTTAGTGGAAATGTCGGAAAAGAGAGAAGTTTGCAACGCTCACTTGAGACAATCAACTCGGACAATCAGAGTAACCCAAAGATCGTCTTATTTAATATCGTGGCAATGGATTTGCCAGGCAAAAAGCGAATTCTAAGCATAAATATAATTGCCCAACATGAAACTTTTAATATGGCTATGAATATTTAATTTTATTAATAATAGCATTTCGTCTTAAGCTTAAAATATCTTCAGATTACAATACATACATGTAGGAAGTTAGAAAACATATATACTAACTACACAATATTACAGGATGTTAACTTAGAAGATATGGTGATGACAGTGTTGTATGATTTTTTGTGTTAAGAGATAGAGTGGGGTTGAATGGAATTAGATAAAATTTAGTGGGATGGAACTGCATTGGAAATTAAGAGATGGTTTACGCTTGGTGAAGATGAGGCTTTCGTAGATGGATAGTTCGTATGCATTACAAAAGGATGATAGAATGCCGAATTTGTAAAAGTCGGCGGGGTGATTACTGGTTTTGAGATGCGTGAGCACACTGAATCGATTGAACTGGATGACGATTTCCCTGTCAAAGGAGAGATACCCAAAT